CATCTTTTGCCATTTTTTTCCCTTTCTGCTTTATCAAGTTCCTCTAGATCAGTGATTCAAAACTACGACCGCCAGACCACAAGTAGTAACGTTACATGGAAACTCGTACAAAACGCCAGTCTAGGGGCCCTTCCCCAGACCTACTGAGTCAGAAACTCTGGGAGCGGGCCCAGTGATCTCTGAACAAGCCCTCCATGCTCTAGATGGTTTTGCCTCCTGTCACCAGATTGTCTTTCTTTTCCTATAAGATTTCTTAAGGGGCTGAGGTAGTGGGACAGGTCCTTCGCCTTTAACTTAAACAGCCACGCTTCAATGAAGGATGCCTGGGGAAGTATGTCTGTGTGCCGCCTTCTCTGGATTCCAGGGCGAGATCATTCTATTTTCATAAGCTGCAGCTGGTGGTGACTTGGAATATACTTCAGAGCCCCTGCTCCTGGCAGCAGCGGCATTTTGCAGCCCATGTTGGTGCTGCCCGCGATGACTTCTAGTAGGAGAGGAGAGAGAGAGATGTTCCTTTAAAAAGTGAAGGAGGGATTCAGTCTCAAAATCAAGGCATCTAAAACTAAAATCGTTACTTACCCCAAGTCCTAGCGTCCCTGTGTTACTCTCTGCTTCTCTTCCCTGTATCACTGATCTCCTAGACACCTGGCTTTAAGTCACCCTGTTTTTTTTTAAATTGAAGTATAGTTGGTTTACAATGTTGTGTTAGTTTCTGGTGTACAGCATGGTGATTCAGTTATATATATATATATATATATATATTATATATATATATACACACACACACACACATGCATGTATATATATATTCTTTTTTATTATAGGTTATTACAAGACATTGAATGTAGTTCCCTGTGCTGTGTATTAGGACCTTGTTGTTTATCTATTTTATCAAGAGTTACTCTTTATCTCTCCCGAGTTTTGGTCTGTTGTGTGCACTCCCACCTCCTAAACCGGGTCATCATGACCTCCCCTTTCCCCCCAGGCACTTTTATCTCTACTATCAACCCATCTTACTGACCATGTGCAGATGAATTGTCCTTGAACAACTGTCTCTAACTGATACTTTCTTGTTAAGACTCTGGCACTACTGCCTGCAGGCCAAACTCGTCAGCCTGGAACTCCAGACTCTCCAAAATCTGACACAAATACATCTTTCTGAACATCTGACCGCGCCCTCCCGAGAGGGTCTGCCGGCTGTCCTCTGACCACCATGTCCATGCTGCGTCCGTCCCTCCCCTCTCTCTTGCTCTCGGCTGGGTCTGGAATGCCCTCAGCAACACGTCTCCTTATCTGAAGTCTGTTCCTCCATCAGGGTCTGGCTCAGGTGTCACCCCCGCGTAGAGCTGATCACTCCAGGTCACTGTGTTCGCTCCAGACTCCTCATCTCCATCGCCCTTTTGTTTCCACCATTATCTTATGTCCTTACCTTTCCCACCTCTTCACGTGCTTTACCATCAGCGGGAGGTAAAGTCCAGGTTTTGTTGGACTTTGTATTCTCAGCATCCGTGTGGCACTCCTTGAACGTTTATTTATAAATGGGAAAAACATGCAAGTACTCAGAATTTAAGGAATATTCAACATGTTTGTGTTTCAGTGAGCTTTATTTGTAGACACATAATGTTGCTCTTGTAAGTGTAAAAAAATAAATCTGTCGTAAATAATATGCCTCATTATTTTCACTGTTTCGACATTAGAAGTATTAAGGAAACATTCCTAACACGAACACAGCTCAGCCTGCTTCTGAGGAGCTTCTGTAAAAGTGCAGATGCATGAGGCTCGTTTTCTTTGTACAGTCAGCTTTTAGTGTCACAGATGTGTGCACGTCTGTCCCTGGCATTTTAGACATCGAACAAAATTCAGTAACATGGTAAATAAAGGCTTGAAACCACAATTTTTTTTTACCATTGCAAAAAAAAATTAACTTTATTTAGTGAATAATTGAAGTTATTCTGCTAGAATATCCAAATATTTGAATTTGGAGAATATAAGAGCTATTATTTTTGTGCATAAAATATTTATTTTCCCATGGTCCAGGAGAAAAATATTTCAGTTGAACATGTCCCAGAAAATCCCCTTTTCCTGTTTACTCCCCTACGTAGGGCTGTGCTTGTCTCCTCTGCAGAACAGCCCCAGGACAATCATCCTCCTTTGGTTTTAGCCTCAGCAGTTCCCGTCCCAGAGGAGCTGGTTTCACTCCATGATCCCTCTCTCTCCCTCCATCAGCGCACTTCTCAAAGTCTGAGTATGGGGTAACCTTGGGGACTTTCCGCAGTACCACCCATGGTTTTCCCTGGGGCCTCAGCTTTTCAAATAGCCCGTGATGGACACACCGTGTCCAGTTCCCTTCAGATATATTCAGATGTTTTTTTCTTTAGATTCTCTATGAAATGGTTGACTGCCGTTTCCACATCTCTCCCTAGTTTTAGGGTTTACAACGGCATGTAGGTAGTTGCTTAGAAAAACAAATTCTCAAAACTTGCTGTTAAGCTTGTTAGAGTGTGTCCAGAGTAGCATTTAATTTACGATAATACAATCCCACTAAGGCAGCACTCTTTTCAAGGACTCTACGCAGTGGTCTGTGTGTTGGAAGCTCTTCCCACTCTTGCTTGTGGGAACAGACTTCCATGTCTCGGGTGAGCCCTGGGCACCATTCTGCTCATTGCTCGGTAGCTTTTTTTTCATCTTTCTTCTTTGTCTCAATAGTTTTCTCTCATTCCTGCAGAGATCGGTACTTGGCCAGATACTCAGTGAGACCCCTGAGCAGCTCTCTCTCTCTCTCTGCTCCTCTTCCCTGCAAATCCTAGGCTATTTAACTTGCCTGAACACTGATTGCTGTCTCCCTAATTTAGTGAGACTGTCAGGTCTGTGCGGGGGTTCCTCTCCTTGCACAGTGGCCTGGAAACCATCACGGGCAGAAAGCTGGGGCAGCGGGAGGTCTCAGCCCACTTCTTTCCTTTCTCTTGGGGATTTTCATCCGATAACTGTGCATCTTGCCCAGTTTTGGAGTTACTTAGGACAGAAGAATAACATGAACTTCTGTTACTCTATCATGGACATTCTCATTTGTTAGAAGTTTGACAAAAACTTAGTCGTGAGAAATTCTGAACCTGCAAATTAACAATTTTTTTTTTTTGGAATTGCTGCTTAATTTAAGCTGAATCAGTAAACGTTGGGTTGTTCTATTTCATAGACCTTGACGCGCTCAAGGGATGGGATCAATTATCTTTAGCATTTACAGGCATGTAGGGTTAAATTTACATCACAAATGATTAACTGAAATAAAGTAGGTTGTAGGAATAAGGTTGTTAGTTGAGGGATATTAAAAGTGCCATAGGAACAGAGAAAAGGATGGAAAAGAAAGGAAATTGAATCTGCCTTATGGAAGCCATCACCTTCCAACATCTATTCATTTACTCAGTCAACATTATTAGGCACCAGAGGAGCACTGTGCGCTATGCTAGGGCCCACCGGTATGATCCCGGAGAGAGATGGCCAGCAAGCAATCACAGTTCACTGCCATAGATGCTGTGGCTGAAAAGTGCACAGAGAGCCACAGGATGGAGAGGAAGGGCACCTCAGCCCAGAAGCAAGCAGGAGATCGGGGACTGCCTCCAGAGGAGACTGAGCCTCGGGGGAAAGGAAGGGCTTGCAGCAGAGGGCGTCACCACTCAGGGAATGTCAAGTGTACAGTGTGGCAAGAGCATGGGTTTCAAGGAGGAGCTATGGGGGAGAGGAGGCTGGAGAGATGGGTAGGGGGCAGGTCTTCAAGGGCTGGCTGTGTTCTCCTGTGGCATTTAGAAGGAAATGAGACGTATTGACAGCTGGGATATGTGTGTGTGTGTGTGTGTGTATCTGTGTCTGTGTGTGTAAAATGAGGAAACAGTGATCAATTTCTGTTTTAGAAAGTTCATTCTCGCAGTAGAATGAAGAATAGACTGGAGAAAAGTGACACGGGAAGCAGGGAAGCCAATCTGGAAGCCCAGGTGATTCAGAAATCCAGGACGTAAATGATGAAGACCTCACTGGGGACGTAGCGGAGGGACTGGAGATAAGGGATAAGGGGAGGGCCTGGGGAACTGTTTTGCCTGGGAGGGTGCCGGAGAGGACTGGGTCCTGACGATGGTCAGTCTTCTGATGTTGTGCTCATTAAGGGCCGTTCCCCCTAAAGTGATCTGCCTTCCCTGAGGAGAGCTCAAGGAAAAGTAGCAGAATTTCATTTACAGTTTTCTCAGTTTTTAAATTTCTATTTGTATGTGTCTTACAAAGTAGATGATAAACTAATACAGCCATATGCATATATAATTTACAAATAAAGGAGTATCAATATATTGTAGGGTATGCATTTTATTTTATTATCAGAGGTGTATGATCAAAAAATCTGGAGGCTGAGTGAGGGATTACAAAAGGAAAACTAAATTTGGTAGTTGTGGGGAGTTTGTGGTGCCTGTAGAACATTTAGGCAGTAATTTCCAGTGGTCAGTAAGGGTCTTGATCAGAGAGGAGTGTCCAGTGGAACTTTCTGAGACCAAGGAAATGTTCTAAATATGTGCTGTTCAGTACGGTGGCCACTAGCCACATAAGGCCACTTGAGATATGGTTAAGTGCAACCGAGGGACTGAATTTTAAATTTTTGATTAATTTTGATTTATTTAAGTTGAAGTAGTCACACATAGCTAATGGTGACCACGCTGGAAAGCTCAGATCAAAACTTAGGGGGAAGACCTGGGCTCTCATTCACTAAGTGCTCCCACTGGATGGGATTTTATATACATTTTAAAGCAATTGAATCATCCCAACCATCCAATGAAGTGGACGGAATCATAAAAGAAAAGAGTCAGTTCTTCCTTACTCCGTCCTTTCATTAGTAAATGTTTACACCACAGAGAAGAGCACATTTGCTCTGAAATACGTGTCACTTTAAAGATACTCTTTATTGGTAGATAATTATGCATCTTTCACAACCAAGCACCGATTTTATTTATTTATTTTTCTTTCAGGTGGCTTGCTCTGTTAAAGATTCAAATATGCATTATTTTAATGTTTTATTATTATGACTGTAATCTTCTAGATCCACTGCCAAAACAGGTAAGTGTTTTCAGAGTTTTGAACGGTGTCACTTTTAAATTTGGTATGAACTCTAACCCCTTGGCTTTAATTTCTGGGGATGAGCTGGCTGACTTCCTCACTTAGGCTCATCTTAACAGATGCTCTGCATTGAAGCAGACGGAGAAGATGCGCCCTTAATTCCACGTCTGCTCCATGTGCCCCATTGTCACAAGACCAAGACATCCTAGTAGTGTTTCCACTACTCGGTGTTAGGAGTTCCTCCATGAATTTACCAGTTTAAACCCTTTTCCCTGGATAAAATAAATACGGCCTTGAGGTTGAGCCTGTTTCCCTAGAAGGCGTATCTGGGTTCCAAAAGTGAACCATGAGTTTAGGAGGAAAGTTATAGCCCTTGGTCCATTGGGAAAGCCATGGCTTAGAAGAAAATTAACCCAGCAGTAGAAACAGTGAACAGAAATCAAAAGGCCGTGACCTTTTCCAACCTCTGACCATTGAATATTCCAGTCATTTAACTCCTCTGTTTCTGTAGTTCTGCTCTCCTAGACCAGTGGCTCTCAAACTGGTGTGAGCATCCGAATCACCTGGGACGGGGGTGCCTGTTGGAACACGGAACACTGAGCCCCACCTGCACAGTTCCTGATGAGCAGGTCTGGGGAGGGGCTGGAGAATTTGTACTCCTGACAAGTTCTGGCCACCGCTGGTGCAGCCCACTCTGAGGACCACTGTCCTAGGAATGAGAAAAAGTTCCATTTAATTCCAAATGTTTGGAAGCCCCTTTGAAAACTCTGGATAAAAGGCTATTTAGACTGAGGGTGAAGCTCAGAAATTAAGCATTGCAATCTCAGGGCTATTCACACAGCATTTTGTGCTGGGATTTGCTCTTGATATAATAAGGGCAGTGTGTGGACGGATAAATAAAACTCTTGGGTGATATTTCAGTAGAAATTCTGTAAGTGCCTAAGCGACACAGAAAATATTATTTCACAGATATGTGCATTTCAGCACTTTGCCTTGATTTCTTTTGCACTCCTATTTCGAGTACAAGTAACAGTGATAAAAAGCTCTCAAAATCCTACGATGAAAGGGAAATCAAAACCCCTTCACAAAGGTTTTCAGCCGAGTACAGTTTAGTTGGCAAAAATGAAGATCAGAGCCAGGATTTACAGGCACCAAATACTAGTTTCTGGTCTCCTGAGGTAGCGTCACCATTTTGCCCAGAACTGACTCAGTATCTAATGATATTTTGTCCAGCAAGAAGACACAGGAATGCCTTTTCACATTAGAAGGATGTCATTTGTCAAAACCATGTGATACCTAACTCTGGAGATCAGTCGTTTTGACCCAGTCCTTGGGCAGGATTTTTCCAATACCATCTTCTTAACTAAGAATTCTTTTAGTTGTAGGTGTACTATTATACATAATATATTATATGTATTGTATGTTTATTTATATTTATATATTATGCTTTCCTTATATACATCCTGTTTCTCTTTTGACACCACTAAGAACATTTTTTAAAGAAATGTTACCTCAGTTTGTAAAAAGTTCAAGTCTGAGAGAATTCTCATCTCCAAGGGTATTTCCTTTCACAGTTCTTGTTTTAGAAAGATCAATTGAAGTTATTTAGTTATTGGATTTATTTTACCAAGCTGTGGAAGGAGGGGATCAAAAAATGCAGGAAATGACCTTCCAATTAGCCAAATCTTGTAGGATGTGGGAGTGGGGCGGGTTGCCAGGGCAGGTTCCAGACACCCCTTCGTCAAGTCCAGGGAGCTCACCAGCCTGGGAACCAGCTCCCCCAAAGGAATTTACTTGCCACAATAGCAAAAATCAAATGCTAGCATCCCTGATTTTACTTTGGTAACAGCCTGGTGTTTTATTTTACATCAAGCAGTCTTAAGAAATTAATCTTAATTCTCTCTCAGTAAGAACCAAACAATAAGGAAATGTTACAGAGCTTCCCAGGATCTGTGGCTGGTCAGTTGTGTCCAGATGCTGGCCGTGGGGGCTGTTCCCATTTCAAGCATTCATAAGAGCAGCTTCCATTCTCTCACAAAAGCAAGCACATCTTTTGCCAAATAAAAAACTCAGTGGGGTTTTATTTGGTTGGTTGGTTTTGTTCTGCTTTACCCTTTGGAGGAGGGGCATGGATTCTTAGAAAGTCTCACCAAACCGGTGGATCCCCCTTCTGGAAAAACACACACTTCTTCTTACACACAGAGTTGTGGATGCAATTTCAGAGTCCGTGGGGCTCTGTGACTCATTCTGTCGACCAGCTAAGAGTCCTCTTGCTAAGGAGCCCATCCTGTGCCCTGTGCATTCAAGTCAATGACAATAAATGGACTGTCTAAATTGGATCGCCCTCCTCCTTCCTCACCCATCTTCCTCCAGCCCTCAAGGTTGACAACACAGGTTGCTTTTCTTACCCAAGCTTCTAAGCTTCAACAACCTCTTTGTATTATTTGCAATAAACTGAACTCCCCTCACACCCCCGCACATTTATCCCTTATTTATAACTAGGACATAGCGGGACATATCAGAACATTTGGAACCCACAGAATATCCTTTTGGAAAATTATGACCTTAGGGACACTGTGACAGTGTTTCACACCACTAGCACCACGTCGTTTCATGAACATTTGTCACAAGTGGCATCAATGTCTCACTCAGCAATTATAAATGAGGTGCCACAGTTTGGGGGCCAGAAATGTAGGAAGAGCCTTATTTATGGCATCCTCTTTACCCAGGTAAAGTGAAGGGTGGGTGGCGTGTGAGACTAAAGAGGTTGCTATTGGAATAAGGGATTTGCCTCCTTTTCTGTCCCTTGGATGGAAGGCTGAAATTGATGCTTGCCATTGAGAACTCATCAGGCAAAAACTTCCAGTCTTCCCAGCCTGAATTCTGTACCTTTTTAGGAACAATTACACTGAGTAAACCATAGGTCCAAACTGTTGGCGTAGATCCCTTAACTTCTATATTCCTTGTGCATTTCTGCTTTTAGAGTTCTCTCCATTTGGTGGGTGTCCAGCAACCGAAAGGACAATGCCGAATTGAGTTCAAGCAAAGAAAATGACCTCGGCTGGGCCTAAGAAGGGCCAGGGCCTTCTGGAGGAGTGGCTGCCCCTCATCCACTCGCCTGGCAGCTCCCAGACCTGAGTTCAACTAAAACATGTCACTTTCTTTTATTGTAGGATTTAGATCAAGACAGTGTGCAGATGGGATGTGTGTTTGGTATCTCAAGAGTGGACCAGGAATCTGACATGACTCTCACTGATCCAGAGACCTCAATGCAGGGTTTATAGAAAATGTTTAAATGATCAAAAAAGAGGCATTTCTTAAGAAACTGGAATTTGGTTTCATGCATAGCCGTACCAAAAGTTTAAATAGAGTATCATTTGAGTGGAAGTCTTAGTATGTTAACTTCCCTGCGAAGGCAACATACTTAAACTTCTATTTTGAAAAAGGCTCAAAGTCTTGGACTCTAAAAATCATTAAATCATGATTTCTGGAAAGTTGCTGTTTTTCTTAATATGATTCTTAACTGGCAATTGGAATTCTTAAGCACTGGTAATCTAATTGTTTTATTAAACATGTCTAATGCTAAAAGTACAGATAAGATGAAAGCTTTCTAAGACCTGGGAGGTCAGGGGTCTTGTCTGACACTCACTTCTACACCCAGCTCTGCCTAGGACAGCAGCCTCTTTCACAGGGCTTAGTCAACACCCGTATGTTGATTGATGTACTGATTTGCATTTTAATCAAGGTGAAATCACTCTTCTGACTCCAAGTGTTTGTGATTGTAGTTTGAGATAGTATTTTTCCTTATATATAGAACCTCAAATAAAATGATGCGTCAAGGCACATTTCGATCTATTACTTAAGACTTATACCTGAAATTCTTACTGTGACACCCAGAAAAGAAACCCTGTCATGTTCAGGGGAACCATATGACACATAACGGTGTGACGGGTGATGTCATGATTTGTCTTCTAACAGTCAATGCAGTGCTGCTCGCCTCCTTGATTTCACAATACGGAAGCTTTGGGGCGCATCCTGTCCTCAGGATTATTCACTCCCCTCTGCTAGAATTATCCCGGGGGGCTGGTAATGATTGCGTAGTCATCTGTTTCCTACCAATGAGCAGAGGAGTCCCTAGGAGAAAATAAAGTGCTTTGGTGTGTATTAACTTGTTGGGACTAATTTAGTGATTCCGAAGCTTGGCTGGTAAGTAGCTCACAGCTAGCTTACAGGCTCAGCGGTCTGGAGACTGAAGGGGCTGAAGACAGCAGTTTAAAATCCACAGCAGATCTGAGAACTTGCGGACCACGACCTGGCAGGTGCTTCTAAATACAGCAGGTGTGTTCTCAGGTAAGATGTGTCCTCCCAAACAGCCGAGGCCTGCCCTGAAATACTGTATTTGCAAATAAGAGACACTTCAGCTGAAATGGCTGGCACTCAGGGCTGGTGTTCATCTCATTATGATTGCCTGGTAAACGATGAGGGTTAGCTGACAGGTTTATGCACTTTTGAAAAACAGTGCAGACACAGGAGATCTGCTGACCTTTGAAATAAATACCTGGAGGTCCCTGTATCTTTTTATTTCCCTACCCTGGGGTTTTATATGATGTATATTAATATATATATTCATACACAAATTATATGTAAAATGTATATATAAAAATACATATATTGGTACATATTTATATGTGTTAACTTGAGTTTTCTGGAAAGCAGAGCCTGAGACAGACCTGTGTGCAGTGCAGATAGTTTATTGGAGATGTGCTCCCGGGCGCAGAAGTAAGGGACCGGAAAGAATATGCTGCATTGGAGTTACGTTACCAAGGTAGGTGTCCTAGCACTGAGGGACCCTGTGAGGCATATGCACCACCTCCCAGAATTGCCCACCTGAAGGATAAGAGGTGGGAGCAGTTATCCAGTGGCTTCTGTTCTCCGCCGATTGACGATTACCACCCCCCCAACCCTGCCCCCCAGCATGTGACCCCTGCACTTCCCAGCTGCATATGTGCGCGGACTGAGCAGGGTTTTGTAGCATCAGAGAAGCTCTAGATGTATCTGACCTTGCGCTGAATTGTTCGCTGCAGCTGAACTCAGAGTTAGGCTGAGGGACGTGACACGGGGCACCGGAGTCATCAGATACACTCCTTGCCCCGCACCACTCAAACCCGCTCGGGCTCCACATCAAGTCAGATCCATCACCAGATCTTCAAAGTGCTACACTCTGTTAAAGTCCTAAGTTCAATGACGAGTTTTAGGAAGCTGTAGTCCTCAGGGCTGCAATGGGATTAGAGTAGAATTAGGGGTGTTATCTGGTGCCTGGAAGAAAGGACAAGTGCCCCTCATCACCAGTGTTTCAAGCCTGCCTTGGGCACCATTGCTGTCCTCTGAAGTCTCATGACCTCCTGCGGTTTCCGTGCCTCACCCAGCATGGAGCCTGTGTTCCCTCTGCCTGGACTGCCATGGTCTCAGATCTCCAGCGGGCTCTAGTCTCCAGGGCTCAGCCATCTCCCCCGTCGCCAGCCTAGCGGAGGCTCTTTCTGGTTAGGGAGAACCTCTCGCTCCCTGCTTCTCCAGGCTTCACTGTGGTGTCCGTGAAACTCAGTTCTACTTGTTCTTAAAGAGTTGGCCTTGACGGCTGAGAAACCTCACAGCCTAGCTAAGTTTTCAGGACAGAAATGACTTAAATTTAAAAATTCTCTGGGAAGTGATGAGAAACAGTAGCAAAGGAAACAACAGACAGACTAGTTAAAGCGCTGTACTAGAGCATTCTGAAGGTTTATATGTACTTTGATACAATGATACCATGAGTGAAAGATGACAGATATGTTAATGCTAATCATAATGACAGTGATGAACACTGAGTGATGCTTTGTACTTGGCAGGACGTAAGCACTTCCCCTGCTTTACCATTCTTCTTTTCAAGAAGAACCAACAAGAAGCACACTCAGTAAGGAAATACTGATTTTGGTCCTCAGTGCCAAGAAATGCGACAAACTAATTCACAAAATGAGCATCCTGAACTTGTTTACGAGACTTTATTGAGGCTGTTGGCTAAGACAGCACGGGTGCTTGTCTCAGAGTTGCTTACACGGGTGAAAATGGGGAAGAGTGGTTTAATTCTTCAATTCACTTACCAGTCAAAAGAAATGGAGGCCAAGTTCTCACTGAAGGAAAAGAGCTTGCACGGCAGTGTCTTTTTCTTTGCCACCCTCAACAGAGATCATCTGCTGTCCTGTTGAGAGAGCCCAGAATAAAGAAGGGAGGGCCCGCCTGGACTGAAGAGTGGGGCTCAGAAGGAAAAAAACTCTAAACTGAGTCCGAGCTGCACAGCTGAGTCATCCCTCATGGGCCCCGTTTTTCCCTAGCGACACGAGAAGCCTGGCGCAGATGCCAGAAGCCGTAAGACCCTCCACACGCCTCGCGTCCTCTGATTGCTGTGCACACATGGCTGTGCAAAAAATAATGCATTAGGAGGTGCCCATTAAAGGCAGAATTCGTGGAGCAAAGATGTCCCAGCTATAGGCCTTTCTGCATCTTTTGTCATGGAGGGGATGGAGGACAAGGCAGCCCAGAGCAGGGGAAAGAACACTGACCCTGGACTCAGACCTCTCCATCCCGGTGCTGGCTCCTGCATTCACGAGCGCCCTTACTACCTGACCTCTCTCTCGGCCAGCTTCCTAGCCTATAGAACAGGGGTCATGACAACAGCTACCTCCCTCGAGTGTTCTGGACGAGTCCCCCTTTGAACTCCGAGGCAGCAGTGACGAAAGACACGTCTGCATCAACTTCCCAGCCCCCGCGCTTCAGTTTTCACCGCAGCTCTCAGCACTGTCAGACCTAGGAAATTCCTAGCTGTCATTTTTGGGGAAACCCAATTGTGTTTTTTTCTCCATAAGCACTGCCACTCTGCCTTGCCTGTCACAGGTGTCCTGGCTCTTCCTTGCAGTTTTAGGCAAACAAGGCTCAGATCTGAGCCCCACAGACTTCGTGCTCTCCTTGGCCAGCTTGCTGTGAACCACTTCAGTTCTTTTCTGACTTAAATGCTCAAGGTTTCTCTCTCCCCTACTGTCTCTGGTGGAAGAGGCCACAGTGGATCCTGGAACTGCCTTTTCCATGAAAATGCTCTTCTGAGGGGAAGTAAAAACCAGAACCCAGCAGACAAGACAGAAAAGCTTATCTAGCCCCCCAGTTGCATTTTCAGCATTCTTTTCCCACATAGTGTGAGTTTGTCATCCAGCCAAAAGGGAAAACAAGTACAAAATAAAATAAAGCTAAGGCCGGATCCTCCAGAGGTCAGGGTCTGAAGCAGAAACGGACTAAGCTTCATAAAAGTGTTTCCAGCTGAGCCCTTAAGCCATGGTCCAATTTGAAAGACACTACGTGTTGAGATTTTGCGGAGCTTTTTCTGTGTCTTTCAAGGGGGTGTCATGGAAAGCCAGACTACTTTTGAGGATATTCATCCTTTCATCCATCCATTTGCTCATTTGCTCATCACCAAAAATGAACCAAGAGAGTAGCAGGCCCTGGGCACAAAAGAGAAAAAAAAGGGAAAGTGAATCACACCCTGCTCTCAAGAATGTCCCTGTTAGGAGTGGAAGGAGACTGTCTCTGTCCCCAGAGCCCTTCTGACATCTTGCATTTTGTGCAATCCTGTGACATAGGTACTCACATTATCTTCATTTTTCAAAAGAGGAAACTGAGGCATGGAAGGGTTGAGGAACTTCGCTAAGTCACACAGGGAGTAGGTGGTGAGCCAGGACTCAGCCCAGGATCTGTGCTGTTCAATTTGTTGGAGCTGCCTCTTCTGTCTGTAGTCACTGTCAAGTGACTTTACCCCGAAGGAGTGAGTCACAGAGATATTTCAGATATTATGTTGAAGCCTTTCAAATCCTCACACCTTTGAGCACTAACTAGGGAATCATCTCTTCCAGTAATTTATAAGCCCACATATATCTGAGACTTTTAAAATATCACGGAGCAATGCTGTCTACCAGGAGGATGGTTTAGTGCCTTTTTAGTTCTTTCTTTAAAAAATCTATTTTCCCTAAATCTTTTCACACTTCCTATCACTGCCATCGTTGGGGGAGTGACACAGAATCAGAGGAAGGAGACTTCAACAGTAATAAGCATTCGTGTTGTCTAGCTTGTTATCCGTGTTTTCAAGATGCATCCAGTGATTTCCCTCTGCAAATATCAACTGAAGCTCATCAACAGTCCGTCAACCAACAGGATCAATCTCCAGACTCCACGTGTGGTGGATGGTAAGTGCCGTAGATGCTGCAGAATTTGGGTAAATTTCCAACAAAACAGCCACCAGTAGGCAATGACTAGCACTTATAATACTGGATAGTGTAGTTGGGGGGAGGGAAGTATTTCCGCCATCCACAAATTCTCCCAGGCATTAGTTTCTATTAAATACTGTTCTTACCCGTATATTTCAGCTCACTGTCTGCTTCCCTTTTGCCTAACAGTCATCTATTACCCCCACCACCACCATCACCACCCACGCGTACACACACACACACACACACACACACAGAGATGCAACATATATTACTGGGACTTTCTGGAATATAGGGCATGCATCCGAATCGTGAGATTATTTGAATAAATTTAAATGTAGAAAAAAAGATAGAAAATAATAGACCATCATTAGCCTCAGTGGATGCCGAAATGAGTGCTGCTATCAGCATCCAAGAGTGGCCAAAGAGTTGTGTCACCCCTCAGTGGTGGGCATCCCACCTGCATCTCCCAGAACCCGGGGGAGGGT